ATATTTTAACTTCATGACAGGATCTCAAATTTTCGATCATAAAAGTCATAATTTCGATAATAAATCAAAAGAGAAGTCTCCAATAAATTAATGATCAACATAAAATGGGCCAGCGAATAATTAAGAACAAAAAAAGTAACTGGTACCGAAAAGCGACTTATAATTTATCTTATTAATTTGAAAAGCAATCAGATTGAGAAGTGTCGAGTTTGTCCCCCAGATGATGCGTTTTGAGATCTCATCGCTCAGGGTCTCGACTTATTCCCGGGTGTATCTTTTCCCTTTATTTTTTTTTATCACGATTTTATTTTTTGATCCTTTATTCTCAGGCGTCGTCTTGTTGGACGTTTTATCCGAAGCCTGAAGCTTGTTTTGTCTCGTCACAGTACAAGTAGACTGTATAAGTAGATGCTACAGTGACAAGATCTCTGATAAAAGTCTCTAGATTCCTAATAGTTTATTTTTGTTCCATTTCACTTTTATTGTTTTTATTTATTCGTCACTTATACTTGGAAACAAACTTCAGGACGGAGAAGGTAGATAGAGAATTTAAAAACCCGGTTTATCGTTCATCCAGGTGAAGGTCGGCCTTTTTACACTCGTTTTTTTTTTTATTTTTTTATTGTCTTTCAAATGTCGAGCGACTCTTTGTTGCTTTCAGATAAGTTATTTCTTGTAAATGTCAATATAGGTGTGAAGTTATCTACTTATTTTTAAAGAGGGTGTGGAGCCGTGATTTTAATTACCGTCAGTCTTTACATTATTTTTAGAAAATTTTATCAAAATTTATCTATTGCGCAATAACTATAATTTAATATTTTATTTTCTGGATTTCTGGAGAATTTTTTGAAATTTTTACCAAAATATTAAAGATATAAAATTAATAAGAACTTTTTTTATAGTTAAATTTTCAAAAAAAAAAATTCTTATATAATTTTTTCATACTTTTGATATTTAATTTATAATTTTTATTTTTTTATTTTGAAATAGGGTAAATGCACCAGTTGTTGATCGGTCACCAATTAGTTGACCGATGTATAAAAAAGTTAATTAATTAATATTTTACAAGGGTTTTTTTTTCTTAAAGGATTAAAATAAAAAAATATGGCATTTAATCATCATAATAAAAAATAACGCAATTAATTGCGCAGTGATTATAGCTTTAAAAAAATATTCTGAGTTTGTTTACAACGCAACCAGCCATAAAGCGGTCAAAAATAACTACCGTACAATTGGAGAGTGAGTGCATTTCATAATTAATTTAGTGATATTTATCGGCATAATATAAAACATTTTAGTTTTATTATGTTAATTAAAGATCAGATTCCAACTTTTTTGAAAAAATAAAGTTAAATTATAAGTTTTAATATTATTTTAAGACCGGTCAACTATTGGATCCATCA